AAATCACCCAACAAGGATACCTGTAGACTTTCTAGTGTCTAGCTGAAACACCCCCCCCCCTTTTTACCTTTTTTTAAAAAAAAAGATAGAAATAACATTTATATAATTTTATTTTTCTTTTAATACTCTACAACTTGTAATAACAAATCTTTCTCATTCTGTTAGCTTTTTCACTGGATTTTGAAGATCTTTCTTACCTTCTATAGGATTATTTGGAAGGAAAAAATATCCTGTATGATAATTGCTTTCTAGTCCGTTCCACAGCATTTTCCTATCATGAAACTTATATTCCAAGCAAGAATTAAAGATATAGGTCTGATCTCTCTCCCCTTCTCTCTCAAGGCAAAAAAAACTTATGAAGAAAAGCACCAAATAGCACAATTTATCTAGCTTTGTTTCTCATTGTAATGATTTCACATGTGTTGGTTCTGTTGAGGCCATCTCTTCTCCACAGAGCACCATGAATTCAGTACAGCTCTGCAGAGCCATGGGAATTGCCCCTACAGGTTTGTGCTGGATGAAGACTTAATGCCTTTGGGATATGGAGCGCGCCTCTGTGGGCTTAGTCCTGCAGAGCCCCAGGTACACGCTGTCAGGTCACATACACACAGAAGAGAGACTTTCAAAGCCAGATCCCATCTCACTCACCTGTGTCCCCAGATAGGCCTGTACCCCTCTCACCTATGACACTAACACTGTGCAAAGCCTATCTCCAAGGCCATTTCCCAACATTCAAGGAATACCCCCACCTACCCCTAAGTTGTGCACATGAAATTAAATGTTGCCTTCTTTAAGCTTAACCATTTCTGAAAATGTTTGCTGGAAGGTGGTCATTGGGTAATTGGGGCATGTTGTCTTTCCTCTGCTGAAAACAAGCAGCCCAAAATGGACATGGTGGGCTCCCTGGGGACCTGCAGTGAGATGGTGAATGGCAAGCAGTACAGTAAAAGTAAACATACACTTGATAGAAAGTAAAATCCTAGCAAATGGTGCGTGCACAGAATGCACTGTTAACAAGAGATGCCCTCTCACATAGTCTGGGATTTATACAGAAGTGGTGATATTTCTATAAATCAACTGGACATATTTCAGAGCTATTGTAAAATATCTATTATGTGTAATATTCCTCAGCATCATTAACTCAATTATTCACTAGATTTGGCACCTCTGTAGATTAGAAAACATAGCAAAAAATGCCTCTAACTAGCCATTATTTTAAACAGTAAGAGCATATGTTTGTCCTGTTCATTGTGATGGACCAAAATTGATTCCTGAAGACAAGTGGATTATGCCAAGGCTGAATTCAGCATTCTGAAAATTATGGAGTACTTGAGCAGAATCACAGTCCTTACAAATATTTTATTTCTGAGGTCTTAATTAGACTAGCCATTAACACTCCCATCATATACTACTATTCATATCTTAAAATCCATGCTTATCTTCTCTTTTTTGACTTCCTGTTGATGCATTTCAGAATTTGCCACTATGTTTTTAGAACCTGTGGTGGCTTAGTGCATAAAAGGGAATGAAAATATGTGGAGATTTGACATTTATGAAATATTTTCTTGTTGAAAATAGATTTGAACTTCAGATTTTATATCATTATACTTCAAATATCCAAAAGAGATAATTAAAAGCATCAGGACCTTATTATGAAATTGATCTTAGTCTACAGTAGCCAGCATTTACAGAAGACCCACACACTTCTGCAAGTCATCCATGAAGCCTCATTCTTTAAGCAACTGCCAGTTTTTTAAAAGGGCATCAAGTTGCCCAAAATACACAAGAGCAATGTGAATGTAATGCTTAATCATTTGCATATTCAGAAATCAATCTTGTTTCCCTCGGACAGCTTTAGTAGCAAACAGCAGTGTTAACATAATTAGGTTTGAAGGTTAATTCTTTGCTTGCTCATGTAGCAGCAGATCACAGTTCTTTATTGTCGGGCTGTGTAATGAATACCACCACTGCTCTGCTCTGCATCTCCACTGCTGTGCTCATGGGCAGCTGGGGGCAGTTTGGGCCTCATTTGGAGAACTGCTTGTCTTGGCATACATGAACCTTACTTATACAAGGGACAGAAGCTGCTTTATAGCTCCAAATTCAAGGGAAACCTTAGGTTGGAGAGTTTGGCTGTTATCTGGGTTCAGGCAGAAAGCCACTGTTCACATACCCGCCGACTCCCGGTGCTGGGTCACTTCATATCCTAGAGAGTGTGAGATGGCCCTAATTACTGGTGTTTCTGTCTCAACAGCATGCATATTTTCTAGTGCTAATCATACCTGTATTTCATAGAATCATAGAATAATTAGGGTTGGAAAGGACCTTAAGGTCATCTAGTTCCAACCCCCTGCCATGGGCAGGGACACCTTACGTTAAACCATATCACCCAAGGCTCTGTCCAACCTGGTCTTGAACACTGCCAGGGATGCAGCATTCACAACCTCTCTGGGCAACCCATTCCAGTGCCTCACCACCCTAACAGGAAAGAATTTCCTCTTATATCCAATCTAAACTTCCTCTATTTAAGTTTTAACCCCTTGTCCTGTCACTACAGTCCCTAATGAAGAGTCCTTCCCCAGCATCCCTATAGGCCCCCTTCAGATACTGGAAGGCTGCAATGAGGTCTCCACGCAGCCTTCTCTTCTCCAGGATGAACAGCCCCAACTTCCTCAGCCTGTCTTCATACGGGAGGTGCTTCAGTCCCCTGATCATCATCGTGGCCCTTCTCCGGACTTGTTCCAACAGTTCCATGTCCTTTTTATGTTGAGGACACCAGAACTGCACACAATACTCCAGGTGAGGTCTCACAAGAGCAGAGTAAAGGGGCAGGATCACCTCCTTTGACCTGCTGGTCACGCTCCTTTTGATGCAGCCCAGGATACGGTTGGCTTTCTGGGCTGCGAGTGCACACTGAAGCCAGCTCATGTTCATTTTCTCATCGACCAACACCCCCAAGTCCTTCTCCGCAGGGCTGCTCTGAATCTCTTCTCTGCCCAGCCTGTAGCTGTGCCTGGGATTGCTCCGACCCAGGTGTAGGACCTTGCACTTGGCATGGTTAAACTTCATGAGGTTGGCATCAGCCCACCTCACGAACGTGTCAAGGTCCCTCTGGATGGCATTCCTTCCCTCCAGCGTATCAACCAAACCACACAGCTTGGTGTCATTGGCAAACTTGCTGAGGGCACACTCAATCCCACTGTCCCCATCAGCGACGAAGATGTTGAACAAGACGGTTCCCAACACCGATCCCTGAGGAACACCACTCGTTACTGGTCTCCAGCTGGACATTGAGCCATTGACCACAACTCTGTGTGCGGCCATCCAGCCAGTTCTTTATCCATCGAGTGGTCCTCGAATTGTTTCAGAACAATTCGTTGTCAACTCGGTCAGATCTAAGCAATCTAAAGGACTATTTCATAGAAAGGCAAGGAAGCAAAACCATATTCAGGCTCTTCTTTCTTAAGTAAGTCTTTATTGGGCCTGTTCTCATCTCACCTATGCTGGTATAACTGAGACACAATTGCATTTTCAGGAGAGTTACAGCAGAGTAAACCCAGTGAGGAAAATGGAAAAATTCTTTCCCCTGCCAATTTGCTATTTATTTACTGTGCTGCTAGTTATGCAGTTGAAGATTATGCACCTCTTAACTATTTGAGTTATATATATAAGCCCCCCCAGTGCTCTCTCACTTTTCATTAAGGGCTATGCACAGGGCTATCACTGAACATCTGCTGGCCTTGATCCAGTCTTGGAAGACTCCCACTGCCATATAACCTAACTTCTGAAACTTGCAGCTGCATAAAATAGTAACTGGTAAAAAGCGGTGGCGTGATCCTCTGACATGAAGCAAGCTAAGTGAGAGCTGCAGGTAATGTACAGAAACGGATGAAAGAAAGATACACACTGGTATTTCTTTTCTTTCATCTCTGAACATGGCAGTTAGTTACAGAGGCAGAAAGCTGGGACTGGTGCTGGGAGTAAGGCACATCAAGTCTCAAGCTTGCTCACAGGATAGACTCAGTTCATCTTGAAGTATTTTTCTGTTACTTTTTTTTTTTATTTATCTTGGTAATATGGTTTGTCTTAAAATAGCGACTTCTACCTGTGGCATGGAGTTCAAGTTTTATGACAGCTGAAGGATGTAGACTTTTTTACAAACATCATCTTTAATGAATGTTTATGATTTTGTTGAGTCTTTTTTCTGAGCTGAAAACAATCAATCATAAAAATAAAGTGTATGTGCATGCAGACAAATGTGCATGTACACAGCCTGAGGGAAACGGTCCCCTCACACATTATTGTTGGGAGATGGCATAGCTGTTCACAAGTGGCAACATCACTCTCCCTTCCTCCTCCAAGGAGAATTTATAGAACCTTTCTCTTTGCACTCACAAAGGTGACCTACACCACAGCACAGGGAAAACATACGCTTGAAACACTTTCAAAGGCTTCTTCTACCTGTCCTTTTTTCCCCCATGTTCTTCAGCCTATAAAGCCAACTGGCTGCAGTCCCCGTGTGGAGGCTGTCATTGAAACATTAAAGCCTGTAAAAGTAAATCAAGTGAACTGCTGTATATTTCACAACATCAGGAATTTAAGGCAAGGTATTTTACAACCCTAGCTGTTAAATATAACAATTTCTACATTTTATTAAATACATGTATTTTTTAAATGCAACAATTTCTACAATTTATACATGGGGCATACAGCATAGTTACATCAGTTGAAAGCCTGTACCCTTAGCTGTCTATGAGATACAGCTTTCTGCCTAGTATTAACAGCTTTAAAATTGTAAAAATTGTGCATTGCAGAAGCAAATATGATTCTCATAAGCTAGAGGCTGAGTGACCCTCTGAAGCCAGTTCATATGGGAGGGATGGTTGTGCAGCATCAGGAGTGCACCAGCTCACTGCAGAGATCAAAGCATTCATATCACAAAATACTGATAGACGGCCATAGAGGTACCCATTTCTTAAATCCACTGATGGGTGACATACCTTGCTTAATCCTGATGTCCTCATGGTCTTTGTTTTGTTCCTCTACAGGCTTTTGTATCAGGGACAGCCAGCAGTTTTTGGAGACACAAGGCTGGTTGTTGCAAGCTATCACAAGATTTGAAACGGGTTTCCAAATAACTATGGCAAACAAAACTGTGAATGATTTGTCAGTGCAAAGTTAATCATCTCTATCTCTTGCATTTATTGTGTGCTCATCCCAGGGTTATCTAAGTTTCCATACCTGCTCTTGGAAATAATAAACCATTTTATTATTGTCTTTATCTTTTCTTCTTTCTCCTCTTCCAGCAAGCTTTCAAAAACAAAAATCAGTTTCCCTTGAAAATATAGCACCCTTTTCCTAACCCCATTGAAATCGATACAGGTTTTGTCACTAGCTTCATAGACAGCAGGCTCATGCTTACTTATGCAACATTCTGAAGCTCACAAAGAACGTGGTGATTCTGCAAAGACTGAAAGTGCTGAAAGTGAATTAGTAACATTCATCTATATTTCAAACCACCTTCAAAATCCTCCTGGATATGAAATAAAACACAACCCAAACCATCTTACTTTGAGTGGTCCTACTTAAGTATTGAGCAAACTTTATAATAATGGTAATAAATTGGTGCTTGAGGCAGTTTCAGCTATATTACATATTCTCTATATACTATAGATATGGATGTATTCACCCTCTATATTGTATATGTATGTGTGTGAGTATTTACATATAGCACACATACATATATGTTTTATGTATGCATAGATGATGATACTAACTTTTCTAAGTTTTACTTTCCCTCCCATAGCTGAAACTGCTGGTTACTAACAAACATCCACATCATATTCTATGTATGAAGGATATAATTTATTTGTAAACTCAGGATGTTCTTGTTTTATAGAGTTGCTTGTATTTTATAATTTATTTACACATCATGGTTGGAAATGCTTATCTAAGTGCTATGCATTGAAGTGTATGTTTGCTAAATCCATTTCATTCTGTTTGTGGCCACGTTCTTTCTCATTATGACAGTGGTATAAAATAGGGCTAAGGAGGAGACAAACTGATGGATATAGAACTAATGCTGGTCCCACCAGAAATTCCAGAAGAGGATGTATCAGTAGTAGATATATATATATATTTTATCAACTAAATTTTATGGGGGTGGGGGGCTGGGGGGGGGGAAGAACAGCATGAGGACAAGTTCAAAATGTGGAAAGTCACAGCCATGTCCAAGTTGGTCAACAAATGCATTGAGCCTTTTGCCATTAAAATTGTAAAGTTTATTGTTTGCTGGCTAAAAAATATCCTTTTTTGTGGTATCTGAGGTGTGAAACATTGTCAAAAATATGATGTCTGGAAAAAAAAATCAAACTATAGTGGCATTAAATGTTTACTTTTATCTTACCAATATATCTGCCTGTTCCTCCTGACTGTTTTACTTTGGATGAAAGCATTTATGAAGTGGCAGAGAAGAAAGTGCTTTTGACCCACAAGAGGATGTGCTATTATAATAGTGAGAGTGAGCAAGATGAAACCTGAAAATAAAACAACCAAAGGGTTCTCCCAAGCAAGTATTGCTGAGAAGCAAATTCACCAGAAAACAGTAACAAACTGCAGGGCTTGATAGCAGTGACAGAAATATTAACCCAAGCATAGCACCATTAATTTCTCCCCTGCTGCTGTTCGGAAACAAAAAGAGAACAATCTCAGGACCAGAATTGGTTAGGCTTTTACATAAACTGGTTATGCGTACGTGCCTCCCCAGATTAGCAGGGATTTCTCTATCTGCATCCATAAGCAAGAGAAAAATCTGAGAGTAAATGATAAAAATGTGTATGTAGGTATAATTTTTTGTCATCTCTAGCAGTTATGTCACCATGGGTGTAAACCACAATGTAAGAGTGATAAAACAAGTTCGTGGCCGTTACTGACGACATGCTTCTCTCTGAGAGGATACGGTGGCATGTTCAGCTGACCTCTGAGCTTCTGCTAAGATGTGCATAATATTTGCTAGCCTTTTGCTCACATTTGCGGTATTCCCCACTGATAATTAAGAGAACATCTTACATGGAGAGCAAGATATGAACTAGCTTTCTGGGAAGACCTCAAATACCCTTTGACACTTGGGTATGCCCTGATAAGGACTCTGTGCTCTTCCCATTGGAAGAAAACAACAAATCCTATTTCTTGTGGGAAGAGAAAAAAGGAAGCTATTTAAAACCTCCTTTAAGACACATCATATGCTGGCAGGTGATTCCCTTACATTCCCAACTTTAGGAGGGACATATTAACATGCTAGGCATCTAAATATTTGGTAGACAAGTTTGGTGAGCATTTAAAACCATCCTTTCTTCTATCTATCTTGTTATTACACCAGTTCAGTGACAGAGCTAGCAGTCACAGTGCAGGTGATGCAGTCATCTATGGTGACCAGCTTTTCCAAACGAAAAAATATCAAGGTGGCTGCAGAGGCTAAGGCTGGCACTAAATGTGGTGGAGGGGAAGAGGAAGCTTCTCCTCGTTTCTCCTCTCTTAGCAGCAAACCCTGTGACTCCAGTACTACCTTAGCTCTTTCTCCTGGGCTAGTGAAATTGCATGCTGGTGCTTCTCCACAGTAACTGTAAATGAAGATAAACAGCCATTCCTTTTCTCTTTGGGCTGTTCAGAATAGCTCTGATTTGCTCTAAAGAGCTAAAAGGCTTATTGCCTATTTTTGAGGTAATTTGTCTTCATTGCTGTTATCATGCAGCCACATCAGTATTAAAGAACCCAAAGTGCCTTACAGTGACAAAAACAGAGAAAAATGGGTTAGCAGAAGTCCGAGACTTTGTCTAAGGCGGAACTGATGGTGAGGAGCTCTCTTTGAGCTAAAAAAAAAAACAACAAAAAGGAAAATCAGTTCCCTCTTGGTCAGTTCTGAAGACCTCAGTGCTACGCACCTTCACTTTGGGGAAAGACTGCCAGGAAAGGTTTTGAGCATGGAACGGGAACAGGAGCTCACACCTGGCAAAAAGGCTGCTGTCCTGACGAATCATGCTTAATACTGTTGGCACCTCTTGTGTGGCGCTAGCCATCACCAAGTCTTAACTCATCTGTAAAACCAATAACCTTCCAGGCTAAGTCAGGAGAAGGTTTAGTGTGGAAACCTGACAAGCCCAATATCCTTATGGGGTCCTGAACAAGCTCCTTAGCTACTGGAAAATGAGGAGGAGCAGAAGTAGTTGCTAAAGCTGGTTCCTATCCCACATCTACCTGCAAACCATTCGGGCTTCCGTGACCTCACCCTCACTTTGGCTGGCATCACTAGCTGCCTGGAAGCCACAGGGGAGGGCAGGGGGCAAGAGAATTCAGCTCCCAGTCTCCCAGATGGAAACAAAATTAATGTTTAGTTCCTTTAGAAAAAGCCCATCTTTGAGTGGATTTTACATTTTATGATATCTGTTAGTATTCTTGACAGTTGCCAATCTGGCAGTTTTGGAGGCTGACATCTGCTATTTGAACTCTGAACAATGCTATACTGGCTGTGACCACACAAATGCCCCACATTTCTCAAAAAGCACTTCAGAACCTCCATAACCAAGCGGGTAGCTTGGAGGTCCTATGTACTCTCCTTTCAGGAATAACTATGCCAAATGCTGATCCAGAAAAAGCTCCAAGATGGGCAAAAGTGGTCCATCCCTAAAGGATGCTTGTCTAGGGGAAAGCCCTGCATCAATTTTCATTTACGTTTACATGTGTCTCTTCTGTGGACACTTACTGCACAGGTTTGGCACCCGTTCTTTGCATCAGATTGCAGGTTTCATGCCAGTCAACTGGCAGCCAAATGTACGCAGCTGTGTGTGGCGCACATTCATATTTCCATTTCTATCTCCTAGAGAGCCAAGTGCAGCCAGACACATGGGTATGGTATGCAGGACTCAGGGCTTCCTGGGAAGGAAGTCCCACACCTCCAGCAGATCTTTGTTACTGACTTGAAAAGGTGCAGGGACTGTGCTTGTTCCTGTCTCATCTGTCCTCAACTTCATTCATTCTCTGAATGGCAAGAAACCAGGGAGATGGGAGAAAACTTGACATCTTTCTATATCTAGTTTGCCAAAAGATTAATTGCTCATTGTATAAATAAAGCAGGAGGTGAGGGAGGACACAAGCCACCCCACTCGCTGTCTGTGCTCTGCAGACTCTTCAGTGCTGGTACGGTTGGATTCTCTGTGCCATTCAGCAAACTGCCCCTTGGAGCTTGCTTGAAACAAGAGTGTCCAGCAGAGCTGAAGGAGTAGCAGTGCTTTTACCTGCCTTGTATTTGAGTGCCTGTCCATGCATAGTGGCCCAGCTTGCTCCCATCTCTGTGTTTTAGCTGGATGCCCAGGGACACAACTACTAAGACAGTCATGACAGATGTGGGAAGATTCACAGGGTGAGCTGCCTGCTCCTAAACCATATTTAATGGAAACCTGGAGATACCTAGCAAGCAGCACCACAGAAGCCAACTTGTAAACATAATTTTCTCCTAATTTCTAATGGAAGAACAATGGAAGGCATGGAAATTATGATGTGACTAATGAGAAAGATAACAGTCCAGCTCCTCACCCAGCAGCTGGTGACTCTGCTGCTCATGCTGCTCCTAGGGGCTGGTGTAGCAGGACTCACACCTGCTCTGAGTTTCCAGAGGCTCAAAGATCATTTATGAAGGTTATTTGTAAAGCCATTAAGATGCTGTGAAATCAACAGGAAAGCTTCTGAACAGCCTCTAAGCCTCAGTGTTGCAGATTTCACACCCACCAGACTCCTTTCTGCTGCCAAGGCCAAAACATTGGGACCACCAACCTTGGCTTGACAATTAGCATTGCAGTGACATGAAATGGTCTGCAGAGTGGGTCAACCATAGGAGCAAACAACATGTGCATAGTAAATAAGCCCCTAAATAAATAAAGCTAGCAAGAGGGCTTCACACCTGAAATCTCTGTTGGGGATGCAATTAGTGTGGGAGTACTGGAGCACCAAAATACTTTCTAAGTGAAAATATTTGTTTGGGACTGGTTTTTCCACCCAGTAATATCACTTTGGCACTTGTGACTCATTCTATCAAAAACTTATTTACACCCCCTCTAAATAATTGCTGTCCTGCTTTTATGTCCTGCTAATTGATCACTTTCCATATGCTTGTACAAAATAAACAGGCCCAAGAGATGAAATCCAAGGAACAAGGGGGCTATAACAGGCATGCCAAGGGATGCTCGGCGCAGCACCAACATTGCTCCTTCCACACCGTTTTCATCTGTGCCAGCCATGGACGTGGGGCCATAGGCCTCATCTACATAACCCCATTCAGATTAGGGGTAGGGTTAGAGTTCAGAGATCCACAGAGCCTTCAGCTTCATGGACAATATGGATTCAAAAGACATATCAAGGAAAACATGGCACTGCACCTATTTTACTCTTTCCATACCTTTTCTCATCTGAGGCAGCCAATGGTGTGGGGACACAGGCCTCAT